TTCACCAAGGTTCTTTAGTCTTTACTCAAAGTCGAACTACTGGACAGGCTGTTAAAATCCAGCTGCCTTTCGCCAATTTAGTCATTTAGAACATTGCTATCTGCATCTTTATTAATCACCAACTAAATAAATTGTCTCTGTTTATTTAAATGTTAATCAAAGGAGGTTGGGTCTCGCTCTGGTTTGTATGACAGACATTCGTAGGAGCAGAAGTTCAGTGAGGGAGACCCGGTTTTGGCTTTATTGCCTGTTGTGGGGTCACATTTTCAAGTGTAATTTCATACCGCTGTGTTGAAACAGCTGTCAAACCTTAATTACCTAATATTGACTCTGTACAGGAAGAAGGGGCGGCAATCAACCTTCTGAAACCCTATTTTGTCAGGGATTCTTTGCTGGGCAAGTCGGTCAGGGCAATCCTTTGACTACTTGTGAAGTATCTCAGTCTAAGTTTCACACTTAGAAAATTCTAGAATTTTGGAAAAAATCAACTCTATCCGTGACCATTTGCCACAAGAAAGAGCTGTAGAAATTGCAGAGTTAAAAGGAGGCTATTGATTTTTTTTTCGGGGATATACCAACACAGACAACATACAGCACGATACAGATCTAGGTGATTCGAAACCAATTCAGAAGAGATTTTCAGTGTCTTAAAAGAAAAGCAGAAGATAATTGATAAAAGGGTTGAATACATGTGCAACTATGATTCCTCTGCTACCAGCCGATCATCTTCCTGCCTGATCTTAAGAAGTCAAGAAGTATGTGCACAGACTTTCACAAAGTTAATGTGGTCACAAAGTCTGACTCATTTAAGCTGCTGTGAATTGAGGACTGTGTCAAACAGGTGGGAAGCTAAAGTTTTTGAGTAAAGTAGACCTTCTTAAAGGGTACTGCCAGGTGTCTTTAATGCCACGAGCACAGGAAATATCAGTATTCATTACTCAGTCTGGTTTATTTTCATTTTGTCAACTTGAAGAGGGGGGATTTGCAATCGAACTTCTGGCCAGAGAAAAAACATGCAATGTGGAGCTAACAATTTCAAAGAAGAATTTTTTTTTCAAGATGAATTGGATAATAGCGCGTTGTGACAAACACCAGATACACCATTGAGACTTGATCAACAGCCGATAACGCACCATGATGTCACAAACCAGTAGGTGGCAGTAGTGTTCTTTGACAAACATGGATGCCTCCAGTAAAGAACATTCACATAAAATTACTCTTAATTAAAAACACTTATCATTTATTGAACAGTATGGAATAATTTCATGTTTAAAGTACTTTCAGAAGTTCTGAATATGACCGCACTTTTGCTGTAAATAAATCTAGGTTGGTTTGATGTGACATTTTCCTACAGCTGACAAGTAAATCTGCATAGTGTCCTCCATGTCTTACAGCTCATCCCGGTGTTGACCTTTGCCTGAAACTTTGTGTGCAGCCATGCTGATATTGTTAGCTGCCCTGATTGCAGATTTTATGGACGTTTCGATCCAAGCGTGAGGGAAAGCTGTGTGTTCTCCTGCAAAATGAATTCTGCCTTCATTCCTGAAGAGCTCTGCAGAATACTCGATGTGTTGGTAAGGAGAGAACAGAGCAAATGCTCCCAGACTGTATGGATCTAGACCCCACTTCTTCACTATCACACCGGTGCATAGAGACCGGACCTCTTCACCGTGGATGTGCACCAGGTCCCTGAGGATCAGCTCTTTCAGCTCTTCATCACTAGCACCTGCGAAGAGACGTGAGTCATCAGACCAGGAGTAGGACGCCAGGAGGACGCCAATGCTGCTGTTTCCTGGAAAACTGTGGCTTGGGTAGTAGATGTAACGAGAGGGTCCATCTGTGATGCTTTTCCCCCCCTTGATGCTTTGTTTCTCCCAGAACTTCTGTTTGAAGGTGAGGATGATTTTTGTGGAGCTTTCATAATGAACCCCCCGCATGGCCTCCATTTTTCTGGCAGAAAGAGGAGGATCAAACTCTATAAACAGAGCTGCTTTGGCCGTAGTGGTTACCAGAACAACATCGGCCTCCAGTCTCTCCAAAGAGGGCTCGTTTTCTCCCTCATACCAGACCGTTACACCTTTATGTGAGCGCTGGATCCGTTTCACCCGGGAGTTTAGTAAGATGGGAACATCCAGGACAGACAGGAAAGCATCAGCGAGACGATCCGTCCCTCCAACTATTTCATCGTACCTTTGCACAAAAAGGATCAAAATGAGTTTGTTGTATCTGACTCTTTAACCTTGATATAAAAAAATAACAGTTTCAAAAAAAAAAAAAAAAGCAAATAGAAAACAATAAGAAAACAAAGAAGAGTGAAAAACATTAACTAAACATTCTACTAGAGAAAACAAATAATGAGCAAAATGAAGTAAAATCAGTTAAACATTTTTTGGAGGGAAACCTTTTCCCACCTGTCTGTTTTGTCACTTTTGAAACATCTTTTCATACATTGTATGCCCTCCATTGTATAGAGTCACATTTCCCAATTTGTACACCTTCACTCACCACTTGGACTGTTATGCCAAATATGGACATAAATATGTATTTAAAAAACCAAAAAGAATGCATAAACCTCATTCATGCAGCTGTAAAGGATTTGGAAAACAGTGGAGAAATGCTATCAAAATAAAATCAAATTCTTAAAATAAGAATCTTACTTTTAATGCAGGTGTTAAAAATGTGCTTGGCGAGTTGCAAACAGCCCAATTTTAAAACTTAAACACACATTCAAGCCGGACACAAAGACGTGAAATAAAATCAAACTAAGAAACAAAGACAATAAAACAAGAAAAGCAACAAAAACCAAAACTAAAGAAAGTCAATGAATAAGTTGTGTGGAGATTGTTTCTGTAAAGCCTTTTTTTTTGTAATTCTTTTAACTCATTGTCTAATTTTCACATGGATAAATCAGCACCAGCCACCAAAACATGCCAGTTCTTTACCTATCTAATCCTAATCAGGGTGGCTGTGGACATGAAGCCTTACGGAGGCTGCTCTCCTCATGTTGAATATTTTAAAACCTAAATACAATGGAGGAGAAACAACTTTCCAATCTTACATTGTGCTGTCGCTGACGTCGTTCTCAATGTAGATCATCTCAGTCAAAGCCAGATGCATGAGGCTCTGCTCATTGAGTAAATCTCCAATCATCCTCACGGCCTCTGCACTCAGACCACCTTCAGTTCTCAGATATTCCTGTCAAAAACAAACAGCAGTGATTGATCTGTTTTATTTGGTTAAATTAGTTTCCTACTTGTTAAGGTTTCACTTTTTGCATATTTTTTTAATTTTGCTTTGTCCAGTTTTCCATCTTAATGTTTTTGATCCTCTTTGCTTCACCGTTCCAGTTTTCACAAAGAGAACAACCCCAGTAGATCATATTTCTTGCTCTTAAAAGCAAGTTCAAATTCAGATACAGTGATCAAAAATTCTTCCTTATCCACATACCAAATTTATTTATTTATTGGCCATTTCTTATGTCTTAGTGATACAGGCAACCTGTGAAGTAATATAACACTTTACAGTGATGTCCAGGCAGTCCTTAAGCTAGGTTCACATTAACCTATTTCCAATGGAGAAAATGCTTCTGTGGACAAATAATTTAATGCATGTTCATAAGAAATGAGGAGGTTACTTGTAAAATAAGGCCAGACACGGTCCTTTTACTTCAATAGGAAGCATGACGCTCCAAATATCTGATGTAAATATAAATAAGCAATGGTGTTCCTGTAGAATAAATAGAGAGTGGTAGAAAGAACCTAAAACAGGAGGGTAAACAATATAAAAACAGGAACTTAGGAAGTGTGAAATGAAAAGACAGGAAGGAAAAATAATTATTCTAATGATCTTATTTGGAACAGATTTGGAAAGAAGGACAGTTGAGGACATCTAACGGTTATCAGAGGTATTGCATGAAGGATTTGAAGGTTTGATGATATTTTACATCTAAGGACTGCAGGATAACCTGTGAAGAACACAAACTTTTCCCATCTTGGGGTTAGTTTTAGGGTTTACCAAGTGAGTAAAATACAATTTAGTGACTTAAAATATATATATTTTTATAACCAAAAAGCTTTTTGCCTTTAATAGAAGATTTTTTTTTTTTGTTTAGCATTAAATGGTTTTGGTCAAGGCTTAAATAAAACAATGTTGTGGAATAAAGATAAAATAGATGTAATATCATAAGAAAATAGTGGAGGCTTCAATCTTAAAAGTCTGAACTGTGTATCGAACCTAACTTTCATTTACAGTAAAATGTACTACTGTAAATCAATAAATAAGCCCATTTCACAGGTATGCAAATTTTAGACTGTTATCCTCATATCTGTTAATTTCAACTTTTCACTGAGTTATAAAATTTAAAGCTAAGTATATTTGCAATGGGAGAGTAAGTTAGGGCTGAATAGCCCCCAGACATCATGCACATCAACTTTAGTGAAACAGGACAAGCCCAGAATTGACTGATCTTAATAATATCTACAATTTACTTATACAGAAATCTTTTTTTCTTTAATGAACAAACTCCTATATTTTCCCTTTCTATGTTCCACTGACAAAATTTGTATTTTCTTTATATATATATATATATATATATATATATATATGTTTTTTTTTATGACAAAATCTATATCAAAGGAGTAAAATACCTGAATATCTTAACAATAACATTCCTTCCTTCATCTTTACTTTGCACTGTTAACATTCTGATCACTCCTGCACTTTTTAAATGCTGCTGCTCATTCTGTTTAAAAGCTGTATGCATTGAAATGTCGTTTTGTATACACTCTGTGCATACAAAATGAAAATAAAGTTGGTATAATTCTAATTCTAAATATCTCTAAGTCTTCTTTCCTGGAACATCTAATTGCCTCTTCAGTTTAGTATGGTGTTTTCTACTAAATGTATCTGGATGTAATGTAGCCAAAATGCATGAAATTGGTCAGTAGTGAGTTCCTAATCACAGTCTCTGATTGTGATGGAAGCATCATCATCATCAGCTTTACCTTTACTGAGTAATGGTCGTATTTCTTCAGCATAGCTCTGCAGCCATGAGCCAGAACCTCCTCCTTCACCTACATAAACACAGGAGTGTACAAATTTACCATTTCATAATGCCAGAATAAATGTCACAGTCATAAATATTCCCTTCTTATCCCTAAACACCTTTTTCAGAGCCTTTTCCAGCAATTCAGTTGGTGATTTGTGCTTTTCTCTTTCTGGGAGTTTGTAATTCAGGATGTCTGGGTTTTTCATCACAGCGTAGGTTGTCTTCAACAGGCCATGAACGTAGTAGAAGGTGTTTATGTCCAACATGCGAAATTTGTTCAGCTTTAAACCGAATGCACTGATGAACCAGCGGGTGATGCTGCGAAAAAAACATATTGAAGAATCAAAAAACAGGCTTCAATTGGTAGACAACTGCCCTCTGACACTTATCCAGGAGTCTTTAAGCCTGTTTAGTGGCTGCCATGACCTGAATGACTACCAATGTACACAGGTATGTTGAAGAATGTTAAACTTTAAAATAAAAAAGCTTAAAAAAACAACTTTTGTTTCACTCATGTTTTTTTTAGTAAAAAAAAATGCACACAATGAAAGTTACACTTACTGGTGATAATTTGGGATCCTCATTGCTCCCAGATCAGCGTACCAGCCTTCTTTCTCATTCCTGTAGGTCTGAACGCGGCCTCCAATCCGATCACTGGCCTCCAGTATGGTGACCTTCCCCAAACACATGCATAAAACAATAACAGCTTACCTTAAAGCTAAGGCACCCTATTATTTATTATTAAATAAATGTTTATTACTGGTTAGACAATAAAAGTAGATAATTCATTTAATTCACAAAGACAATAAATTGATGTTTTGCAATTATTTGCCTTATTAAAGGCCAAGTTTATTTAATATACCGGTATTCTATGAATAAGATAAACATGCTGATGAAGCTCATTAGAGTGAAACAGTACCTTTGGAAAAAGAAATATTTAAGTTGTTATTACCCCTACTTATTAACTGTAAGTCTGCACTTTTACATTATTGTTTTGTGTGTCACTGAGTTGTAATGTTTTAATGGTTGATTGTAATATTTAGATCTAAAAAGTTTTTTTTTTATTTAACTGTAAATAGAAAATCATCAGACAACAAAATTGAAAATATCGATTAGTTTGTAAATAATCTATATAAATTATGGACATAAATGAAGTATTCGATATACATTTTTATTTACTGAATATGTTTACTCAATTTGTTTTAAAACCAAGTAAATCAGCAAAATGATTAAATATTTTTAATAAGCATTAAAAATAAACATGGCCGTTAAGTTAACGGCCATTCTACTGCTGACACATGTTCATCTAAGAGAAGCAGGGATTGCTGCATAGTCAGAGACTTTAGTAAAGAAAACATTTTACAAAATAAAATAATGAAAAAAATGTGTTTTATAATAAAGATAGAAAGTAAATGTGTTTAATTGACCTTATATTGCTGTGTGTAAAATGGTTCAATCTGTCCTTCTTTATTGTTTCGCAGGATGAATACTTTTCCTTTGGATTGATATTGAATTCATTTTGATGCATTCAGTTATTTTAGTTTTTATTTTCCGTTCTTTCTGAATGTTGGGTTTAGGGTGTTTTTTTTAAAAGATATTGTATATTATATTCAAAAACATAACAGTTGTAATATATTTTTAAATTCTCTCTTTGTTTACCTTTCCCTTCTATGTAGACAGTAAATGCAGATCATATTTCTGGTATAAAATATGGAACTTTGTTACACCATATCATTTATCTTCTGTCATGTTTATTGTTATGGATACACTCTTCTGGTCGGTAGCTATATTGCAAAGGAAAAATCTCTGTTTTCTTCAAGGCTTGAATCCTATAGAGTCAATGTGAAACAAATCTGTATCATATATACAGTTTAGAAGTTAAAATCACTTAGTTTATCAAAAACTTTATTAAATATGAATAAAT